TTGCTGCCAAAGTTATCAGAATAATCTTTGTGCAGAATACTCGCGTGTTTTGTTAACTTAGTATTTTTACTTCTATATAAGGCGGTATTATTATACTCTATACAGTATTAGGGCATAATACTAAGTAAATCTGCGTTTTTAGTTTTTTTTACCGGGTAGTCAGGATTTTTTCCAAGGGACCGTAAATTATAATAGGACAATTCAGCTTAACGCGTAAAAGCCTCATATCCATGTAAACCTCGTAAAATTGTTTAATTTTGTACGGAAACCAGGTTTATTTACAAGGTTTACACAGTTACGAGGCAGTTACGCGTTAATATGAATACCCTGAATATGTTTCCAAAAGTTTACACAAAATATAGTAATATGGGTATCAAATAAAAGAAAAATTCAAAACAAGATTAATTATTACTTTTGTTTTTAAGTTATCCTTTTGGAGCATGTAAAAAATATCCTTTAAAAATATTATTCTTCAAGACTTTTAATTTTGAATTCATTCCGAAGAATCTTTGTAGATAAGGATATTGAAGGGTAAAAGTTTCAAAGAATATTTTAGTTTAATTAATTTTTTCGATATCCTTGAGAGAAATCCTGCCGTCCTATTAAAAATTTAAAGATGCAGATTTACTAGAAATGCGCTAAAATATGAGCAACATATCGCATTTTTCACATTTCCAAAGTTTTCAAGCACGATTATTATTAGTTTTTAACTAAAACTTCAACTAAAAATCGGCACGTGTTACTGTTATCCTACGGCCATAAAACTTCATATATAAGGCTCTTTAGGCTAAAAAGCACAAATGTAGAGGGTATGCATATCAAAATATGCAAACAATTTTTTTCCATATATTCTTGGGACAACCTAATGTACATACATATACATACATATGTACTAGTTCCAAGCTAAAAGACGCGTGCGTGTCAGCGAGAGAGCGTGCAAAGAGAGAAATAGGTAGGTATTGGCCACGTCGGGAGACTACACACAACGTTCTTGGTACTCGTATACATATGCGTGGCAAACCTTCTTGCCTACGAAGTGACAAGCACAATGCAATTTGCTATAGCACCACGCCGCGCCGTAGGGCTAGCTGTGTGCTATCCCATGTTGGCGGTGTTCGTTTTGTTTAGTGCGTATTTAAGCGACATGTGCTGGCCGGCGCACTCAGTTGCTGTCAGATTTTTAAGAGAAGCGGTTGCGTGTGGAGCACCTTCGATACAGGGTTTCTAAATTTTCACTTATTGCAAACTCGCAAAATCCTTATTGGGTTTCCAATTTTTAAAAATTACATAACTTATTTCATTTAGTGTCTATAAAGCTTGTTTTGGTGCTATTGAAATTCTACAAGAATTGCAGCAGAACATAATTCGCGAGGCTTGTGCTAAGAATTTGAGAAGGAGTGGAAGTTAACTAAGTGAAAAGTGTATATTTGACATCGTACATATTTATGTATTCTTCTAAAATTACAATTAAAATTAAAACCACTAGGAAATAACAGAATATCAAACAAAAATAATATTCTGCTATTGTGGAAAAGGAGCTATTCAAATGTAAGTAAAATATGTATACATATATGTGCATACATATATGTGCATACATATATGTGCATACATATATGTGCATACATATACATATATGCACTTTATTATGTAAATCGGAGGCAAATGAGTCGCGTTAACAAAAATGACAAATCACATTATAGCATCTTTATTCACTATTGTGACGTTCTCCTCCTTTCTTTGTGCGCGATAAAAATAATTTAATTTTCTTTTAACAAAATAAGAAATGAAACTTTTTAACAATAGCCTTGAGTTCGATGCGGCCAACAAACTGTGGCCGCGATTCAGTGATGATAAAGTTGCCACAATTGCGCTTTTTTGGTACAATTTGAAGCCAGAAAGCACGTTGACACCACATAGACGTTTTTGGTAAAATTTGGAATGCAGCGCTGTGTATATTTCGATTGGTTTTATATCTGTGGTCATAAGCAATAACCGCCTAAGTCGAAAAACCTGGATTCGAGAACGTTTTAAACATTTGGATTGTAATGTTAGCCTTAGGGGAAATAAAAATATTTTGGAATAGTAGTTGCAGAATACGATAGCATATATAACTCAATTCTTGCTCTAGTCGACTTAGGCGGTTAGTGCTTATGACCACAGATATTTACGTTGGTTAAAAATTTCTACTTTTATATATATTTTCTTCTTTCCACTTCACACATACTTGGACTAAATTTTTTTACATTACAAGGTTTGCCAATCTGATTTCTTATAGAAATGGTTTTACCTTTTTCTACCTTACATATTTTCTACCGGAGCTCGAGAACTTAACATAATTTAAATATATGCGAGTTTTATGAACAAATTAAATTAATTAAAAACGAACTGAACGAGCAGATGTTTGCAAAAATCTTCAGAATCTAATAAAAATTAAATGTAGACAAAGATTACCAGTAAAACCCCTCGGTTCTTTAATAAAAGCGAATATAAAAAAAAATAAACATACAGAGTCTTCGAACCAAAATGCGGCTTACGATCTCACAGAAAGTTAAATGCTTCTCTAATATTTTTATATTTTTAATACATATGTATATCGTCGATGTTTTTGCAAAACCGCCTATCGACCAATTGAAAAACCGCCTATCTTACGGCACTCAAATTTTACAGGAGAGCGAAAAAACAGGTTTTCTTTGAAGGCATTGCCTTGATAGGCGATATTTTCTCTAGCTGTTATTTTACAAATCTGCTGTTTTCATAAAGATTTTTTGATTTGTATGCATAAATCTCGATGCCTGCAGTTCAGAGTTACCAAATCTAATTTTTTCCACAACGGCGATTTCGGCGGTTTGCAACTGGTCGATGGGCGGGTTTGCAAAAACATCGACGATATGTATATTTTTACAAGTTATTTATTTAAACGCGTTAAATAAATGTTTTTGTTTAAACATTCGTTGTTTTTGTGAAAGCGTTTACAATTTTTTGTTGGTAAATTTTTACTTGATTTGGTACTTTTTTTCTGATATTTGGTAAATTTTTTTCTGGCATTTGGTACAATTTCGAAAAATTCATTTATCATCCCTGCCGCGATTATGCACATGTGCATACATATGTATGTATGTATGTACATATGTACAAAAATGTTATTTGCGTAGGGCGCTAGTTTTTCTTTAACTGAGATAGCGATGTCGAATTAGAGTTAGCAGGAGAGACTGATGGACAGCGTTGCACTCGTGCACCTTCTCGTAATACGACTATATTACTTCTTGGGCATGTTTTTTTCCTTGCAGGAAAATTATACGGTAGATACTTTTTTGATTTTAAAATGAATACTCACCAAAACTGCAAATTCGCTTTTTTAGAATTTCGATTGGTAATAGCAAAAATATAGTTGATTATGTTCTAAAAACAATCTGTATGAAAGATGACAAAACATTGGCCAATGTCTTATGGTCTGATTATGGCAACTTAACGTAACTTACGGCTCTCACTTAAAAATTCTGTTAAATTGATGTTGCTTATAATTGAACAGCCGAAACTTAACGAAACTTAATTCCACGTCGAAATCTGTTTCATTTTGACTCTCTAAGTTCTACGTTCCGTAAAGTTAAACTAAGTTGCCATAATAAGGCTTTTACCTTACGATATTGTATGGAGGCTATGCTGAATTGTTGTAGTTGTAATTATTAGAGCTTCACGAAAACGGTTATTGCACGAGAACTAATGAAGCGATTTCAAAGAAATGTGTGGCGTTTCAAAGATAAAATTGCAAACCTACCGAAAGATTTATTTTTGTAAGTAACCAATTCGGTTTCTGTCGTAAAAAGAACGGTAGACATTGGCTTATTTTAGGGTAAATTTTGAGCCTTTAAAGTGCTCCAGCAGCTTATGATTTGCAGGCATAACTCTCATTTTCGGGATATAGATTCTTTGGAGCAAGAGAAATATTATTGTTTACAGATTTTATNTTTTTTGTTATTTTTTGGCCATTTAACAATTATATTCAACAATTTTATAATGAGCTCGAGGCCATTTTTAAATGAAAAATTTATTGTGGAAAAGCATCAACAATTTGAAAAAATGGTGGTTTCTTTAAACAAAAATTTAAGAGTTCTTCTTTCGTTTGGTATATGGGAAGTGTTGGTTGATATCTTCTAAGTATGTTTATTTGATTCAAATATATGGGCATAAATGATTTCCCATACAAAATCACTTCGTCATCATTTTGCAAACACGTGCATGCGTTGGAAGTGAGGAAAGGAGACAAAAAGTATGTATGTTTGCGTAAGTACATATTTCGGCTTTTGATAAACAGATGACGCAATATTTATAACCTAATCGCAGCGTATGTACCTATGTAAATATATACATACATACGTACATATGTTGATTGCAGTTAATGTGGATATGTTTCTATTTTTTTACCTCCCTTTTATTAGCTCGGGATGTAACTATGTAATA